TTCAAGGTGCTGTGGCCCCAGTTCCTGGGCGGGGGGCTCCAGGAAATTGCCTCTGGTGCCAGGCAGGCCTAGGTGTTACGGGGTCTGGAGCTGGAGGAGCTGCCGAAAAGTCGAGGGGCCCAGCGGTACTAGGGGCAAACGCGCGGTTTCTGAGGCCTGAGCCTCTGGCGCCTTGCGAGTCTGCGTCGCAGGAGCAGCCCTTTCAGCTCTTCAGCAGAGAGTGACTTTCTGGCGGCTGGAAGGCCCGGCCCAGTGGAGGAGCCTCCAAGGGAGTGCTCCTTGAAAGTCTTGGGCCCCTCCGAGGTTTTTCTTGCGGACAATCGGAAGGACAGTTGGAGAGGGGAAGGCGGCTGTACAGAGGGTTGAAACCTTTAAGGGCTCTTAGGGTGCCCATGGGCCTGGGGAGAGGGAGCTGAGAGCCACTGCTCCCCCCTCCAACAGAGAAGATGCCATTCATTTGCATAATGGAAATGTCTTTGTACCTTGCTTTGGAGGAGCCAATTTTAAGGCAGTGTTCCCTGTAAACTGCTCTCAAAGATTGGGAGAGGCCACACTGCTCCTCTGGGAACATGTATGTTCCCCAAATCCAGAGAATCATAGAATCTAGAGGAAGAATTGGGTTGAGATGTTTGAATTCACCCCACCCCAACCAGAGTTGAGATTGGGGTGGGGGAAGTTGCCCACAACTCTTAAGAGCCAGGGGTGGGGGGAACTTTGCAGCTAAGAGGAAGTGGGAAGCCTGGACAATGTCTCAATACCCCTCCCCTCCAAACACCTACTGGCAAATATCCTCCCTGAGATTACCCGTGCAGAATTCTACTCTGGAGCTGAACACAACTTCGACATTTACCGGGGAGCTGGAATGTGTGTACGTCCACAGGACCACAGATTCACAGCTCAGGAAATTACAATTACAAAGTCCTGCCAATGGGATTTCTATACAATCCTTCTGTTGTGTACTCAAGACTTAGGACACATTTACATCCACCTCTCCGTACACATAACTCCTCCTTGAGCAAGGAGAGACACCCCAGACCAGCAGATGGCTGTGCCCACTGTGTATTTATATGTTCCCTCTTGGAGACAGACCGACGACGGTGGATGCAACCACAGACAGATTCATAGAGATCTGACTCCAGAAGTCAGGCAGCCTCTGGCCCAGCCCTGCCTGCCTGCTCTTTCTCCCAAACAAACGGATCAGACGAATAAACGCTCATAAATACCTCTGGGCTTAGATAAGAGCGATGAGGCGCTATTTCCTTTCATGCCCGACTCCAGGCGCCCAGGCCCTGCCTTTGCGGCTCCATCTCACGACAGGCAACCTGCAGAGGTGAGGTTAATTTGAGGCTATGACTCTAAGGATAAGGCGATTGTTTTTGTGCTTCTATCATAGGGGAAGTCTTCATCTCTCACTGAATCTTATGTTATCCAGGCTTCATGGGAAAGCCCATACCAAACAGTCCTAGTTGGAGGACACTGTGACCAGAGAGGAGGAAGGGAGGGCTGAGGCCCAAGGCCCAGCCTCAGTAGCAAGGAGGAGAGAGGGATACAAGGCACTCTCCCCACCTTGCTCCTCCAGCCCAAATGTTCTCCATTCCTTTCCAGGAGTGGGCCTAATCACAGCTGGATTTGAGCACTTATGACTCTGCATCATCAGGAGGTTAGAGTTTATTTTTTAAATCTTGACACCCCCCCCCAAGAGGGGCTACGAAGTGGTTGATGGGACAACCAGGAATAGCCACTTAACCATGAAGGCACAGCCAAGAAGTTGTCCTAAGTTTAGGGAGCCTTGTGGGCCACTTTGCAACAATCAAGTTCCATCCCTGGTCACTAACCTCAATCCTTTACCACTTTTCCTAGTGTCTTGTGTCATCTTCAGTGGGCAGATTTGGCCCACAAAAAGGAGTCCAAAGAACAAGTCAGAGAAGGGTCAGCCTGGTCCCTTCATGATCAGGTTTTGTCTCACATTCTGGCCCATTCCTGGCCCCAGGTCCAAAGCTTGTCATCCTTTATGCACATTAGAATGTTGAAAATACACTGTGGTTCAGTCTTCCAGGCTGGTTCCAATGCTCATTTTCCTAAAAGAGTCAGAGATGTACACACACACTCACACCAAAGCTTGTAGGCAGCAGGCTGGTGATACAAATATGAGGTGGGAGGGATTGTAGAGATGCTGAGAGACAGAAGGGTAGTGAGCATCTGGAGAGGGGATACGGAATGATGGTGGTAAGCTGCCTGCTGCGGCCCCAGGAGGACCTAACCCTCCCCTTTATAAAATGAAACAAAAACCATCTTGAGAAAGAATTAATTAAAAAAGAACTGCCAGCTTCTGGAGAGACCTGGAAAAGGAGCAATGGCTCCTCTCTTCCCAGTGGTTTCTGATTGTCTCCAAAATCAGGAGGGTTTGAGGACCTGAAACTGGAGGAGGAACAATTTTCTTCCCTGTGCTTACTGAGACACCTTGATACCTAAGAATTTGTAGCCCAGGATATTCTAATGTCTTTTGGGGTAGGAAGTTGGGTGGAGGGAGGGTTGCAGGCAGGATAGGGATCAGACAAACCTCTCACCCCTCCTCTCCCTATCCCCCTCTTCCCAGTACCCCTTCCTGTGCCAAGAGCAAGCAGTACATACTAGAACCAGGCAAGATATCTTGGGCAGCAGCAGCGGTAGCCTTCCAAGAAGCTCCGAGTCTAGCTGCACAGCAAAAGGGAGAAGCTTTTAGGCTCAGACCCTCCTCCCAATTCCCAGTCTTCTGGGTCCTCTGGCCTGCCTCTCAGACTACAAGAGCTGTAGAGAAATAGGAATAATAAGCCCAGGCTTGGAGGAGACGGAGTAGATCTGAGAAACAGGAAAAACGGTTTTCAAAACCTGGGAAGGAGACGGTTTCTTCTTCTTTTGCTTCTCGATTTCTGAAAGCGATGCTAATCAGCGGAGAACTCTTCTCTCCTCCTACCAACACAAAACCCGAGAAACCAGCCTTCTCCTTTAGTTCTCTTCTAGGGAGACTGAGATTCGAGATTCGGAGATATTTATCCACCTTCCCTTGAGGGAATGGGGCTCAAGCAAGTCAGGGGTTAACTTTTCTGAAAACACAATTAACTTTTTCCTATTCTACGTGGGGAGGGGAGGGATATATTTATTTAATCACTGGAGGATGGGGTGGTCTCAATCCAAGTGCTCCCTCCTCCCTCAAAGGCACAGACGCCTCTTTCGCAGATCCTACGTAGGTGGAACGGGACGCGTTGTGCTGTTGGGGAGAGAGAGAGAGAAAGCAGAAGGAGAAGAAGGAGGAAAAAAAGGTTGATAGGTTTGTGCGCGGGTCCCTCGCGCGGGCTGCGCTCCTCCTGGGTGCTATTTGACAATTCCTGCCTCTGCCATTGGTCAGTGTTGGATCAGATGGTTGTATTTCCTTCTGGCCCTCACTGGCACCTCGCCATCCCCCCTCAGCTAAAACCCAATCTCAGATATACTACTAATAGGCGCGGCGCTCGGACTATAAAACACAACAAATCATAAACCCGGCGGAGCAGCAGCGGCCGCGCGCGCCTCCCCTCCCAATGAGTTCCTATTTCGTGAACTCCACCTTCCCCGTCACTCTGGCCAGCGGGCAGGAGTCCTTCCTGGGCCAGCTCCCGCTCTACTCGTCGGGCTATGCGGACCCTCTGAGGCATTACCCCGCGCCCTACGGGCCCGGGCCCGGCCAGGACAAGGGCTTTGCTGCTTCCTCCTATTACCCGCCGGCCGGCGGCGGCTACGGCCGGGCGGCGCCCTGCGACTACGGGCCAGCGCCGGCCTTCTACCGCGAGAAGGAGTCGGCCTGCGCGCTCTCCGGCGCCGACGAGCCGCCCCCGTTCCACCCGGAGCCGCGGAAGTCCGACTGCGCGCAGGACAAGAGCGTGTTCGGCGAGACCGAGGAGCAGAAGTGCTCCACCCCGGTCTACCCCTGGATGCAGCGGATGAATTCATGCAACAGTGAGTGAGAGTTGATGCGGCTGCCGCGACCCCCGCGGGCTCCCCCCCCCAGAGTCAGAACTAGAGAGCCCCCCTCCCCAATTCTTCCACGGAGAGAGCCTCTCGGGTTGGAGCTTAGGGAAGATTGGGCGCCTGCCTCGATCTCCCGCGCTGCCCTCACGCCCTCAGGAGTTGCAAAGTTTGCAAAGTCCCAGATGCACTCCGAGCCAGGGGGAGCGAGTGGGTTCTCTGCGAGGGCCAGGCCGCAGCCGAGATCCTGGTCAGGGAGGCAGGCAGAGCCCGCGCAGCCAGTGGCTGGGCTCTCCCTGGCGCCCCCAGCTCTGGCCCGGTCCCCCACCCCAAGACTGTTCATTAAAAACGGAGTACGTCATGGGAAGGGGGGCGGCGTGACGCTGGCGAGGGAGAGTTGAGTCTGTCCCGGACTGGTTTTCCCTGGGGGTCGGGGGCTGGGGAAAGAGGAGGCACCCGGAAAGGGGTGGTAGTCAAGAGGAGGGGGGGAGAATAAGGGGAAGAAAGAGAGGGAGCGGGCGGAGTCGGAGAGAGGGAGAAGCAGGCGCCGGGGTCTCAGGTTGGATTATTTGTCGGTCTTAAATCCCAAATTGATGTCCATTAACGGGACACGAAAGTGAGGAGCCCTTAATGCTGACTACGGATCGATCCACGTCATTACAGATTAAGGGCCGGAATCTATCACGGGGTGGTGGGGGAGCCAGATAGAAAGAAAAGATGCGTCTAGGAAGAGACACACCTGGCCAGTGCTTCTCCAGCCCCTCCCCCTAGGCTCAGGTGGGATTTAAAACTGCTCCTCCCATCCCCCCACCAAGAATCTAGACAGAAGGCAAAAGCCTAGGAGGCCCGGAGGGAATCTGGAGGGGGCGCTGGAGAAGTGAGGAAAGTGGGGCTAGGGAACCAGAGAGAGTGAAGGACATCCCGGGACAGGCTAGAGTCCCCGTTTGAGGGTCGAATGGGGGAGGGGGGGTTCTGGCCTTGGTGACCCCAGGCCTCAACATCTCCTCTCTGCGTAACAGGTTCCTCCTTTGGGCCCAGCGGCCGGCGCGGCCGCCAGACCTACACGCGCTACCAGACGCTGGAGCTGGAAAAGGAGTTTCACTACAATCGCTACCTGACGCGGCGGCGGCGCATTGAGATCGCGCACGCCCTGTGCCTGACGGAACGGCAGATCAAGATCTGGTTCCAGAACCGGCGCATGAAGTGGAAAAAGGAGAGCAAACTGCTCAGCGCATCTCAGCTCAGTGCCGAGGAGGAAGAAGAAAAACCGGCCGAATGAAGGCGCTGGCAGGGGGCGGGGGGACGCGAAGGGAGAGGCCTGCGGGGAACGGAGGGCAGCGGAGAGCTCCGGGGAAGGCTCTGCGGGCGGGGAAGCCTGGGGACCTGCTCTCCAGAGCGCGACAGGCGGGGCCCCGCGCTCTCCTGGACGCCCCCGCCCGCAGAGCGCTCGGAGGCCGTGCTGCCTGAGCCCAGCCGGCACCCCAGCGCCTCCTCCACGCCCGTAGAACCGCCTCGGCCCGAACAGGCTCCCGCGTGAGAACTGAGGACCGGACTCACTTGATGTTTTCCTGGAAGCAGAGCAAAATGCTCTTGTCCGTGTCGCGTCTCATTTCGTCCATGTCGCCCGTGCACGGTTCAATGGTAGATTCGCAGTCCCCTCAGCTGGGGCCTCGAAGACTCCCTGACCCCAGACCTCTCTCCCAGCCCCTCCCCAAAGCCACTGGAAGGAGCACATACTACCTAGAAGAAGAGGAGCCTCAGAAGAAAACAAAGTTCTATTTTATTAATTTTCTATGTGTTGTGTTTGTAGTCGTGTCTTAGTTCTGGACGTGAAATACTTCGGTAATAATATTAATATTATTAATAATGATAATAATAATAAAGACGTAAAACCTCGCTGCTCAGTCACCTCTGCTCCTCCCCTGCCACTCCCCCACCCCCTCCGCCACCCTTGCGTCCCGGTGCCGGAAACTCTGCAGCGAAGGCCGGAGCTCCGGTCGGCCCCAGAGGGCCAGACGCGATTCGGAAGTTACAGTTGAGATAAAGGCTGCAGCGGTCCGGCCCAGGCTCCAACGCCGCGCCTCGCCGGTGCTGAGGCTCACAACGGCCTCTTCTGGTGCAGAACTGGGGGACGGAGAAGAGTCGTTCCCCTATTCTCTAGCTTTTCTTCGTTTGTCCGTGGCAGGAGGGAACGCCACCGAGGCCCCCTAGCCGGGAGCTCCTGCAGAGAGTGAGCCAGGCGGGTCTCAGTGCCTCAGCGCTGGGTTCTGTCCGCAGGATCCCTGAGGCCGGTGATCTTTGGCCTGCCCACATGGCCTGATTTCCGCCGGCCTTGGCCCTCGGCTCCTGGCCTAAATTGGGGCCACCGGGTGTCTGTCTCCCTGCCCACAGCTGCAGTCTCCAGGCGTCCCTTCCTGCCTCGAGTAGAGGTTCAGCGGCAAGTAGGGGGATGTGAAGCCGCCGGCAGGCGCCTGGGCGAAGGGCAAGACTTTCCCCTGCTCTTTGGAGACCTGAGGGCAGGAAGCCAGGTGATGGGGCAGTTTGGTTACATCCCATCAACTATAACGGACCCATTCTGTCCCCACCCCACCCCCACCCTCACCCTCACCCTCACCCAGGCGACAAGATGAGGAGACTGTTTTCCTTTCTTCCTCCTCCCTCTCTTTCCCTTTCTTATTTTTAAAGAAAATAGCCGTCCGGCAGAGGGGGCCCAGCTGTGGCGGTCTCTGGCCGCCAAGCGCGCTCAGCAAGGCGCTGCTGGTCCTCCGAACTCCTTTCCCGGGAAGGCGTGAGCCGCCCGGCAAATTCTGAAACTACCCATATGCCAGCAAGGGGTCTCAAGTAGGGCTTCCCAAGGCAATAGCAGGCAGTTGGTGAGAAAGTGAAAGGATTCTTCCTTGATCCCAGAATCTCAGGACCAGGTTTACAGCCAAAGCCCAGTCCCTGATGCGGTGGCCTCTACAATTTCTCTCCCATCTAAGCCACTTAGCCCCAGCTGGGTTCTTCCTTTAGGGTCCCTATCCTGTTTTCTGCCGTCCTTCCGTCTCCTGGGCTAAGGATGAGAAAGAGAATTTCAAACTTCTAAGGGGACCCGGAGAAGCGAAAGTTTCTCCTTCGAACCCTCGCCTTTGCCCCACGGGCTTGGCCTGGATGCTGTGGATGGACCACTGCAGCCGGGTCAGGAAGCAGACCAGGCCGAGCTCACAGGGGAAACCCTTTGCAATAATTGTTTTTCACACACATCTTCCAACCTCTCCCTCATTTCTGCCCCCAACTAGGAGACTTGCAAGGCCCGAGTAAAGGAAGAGCAAATCAAGCTTTGGTCACCTTATCCTGAGTTAAAATAATAATAACGACGACGACAGGGAGAAGTACCGAACGATAGAGAAACTCCACTTACGAGAAAGTGGGTAAAGGCTAAATCGGGTTTCTCCTCTAAAAGATTCAACCCTTCGGGTGAACCTAGGCCGGGCCTCTTTCTAGCCCGGCGGTTGCACGGAGCCAGCAGGGAGGCAGTCGTCGCCGCCATGGCGGTCGGCGGCCCGCGCTCCCGCCGTTCGCCGGGAGGTGGCGCGCTCTGCTCAGAGGCCGCCGCCAACCTTCTCCCTGTTTCTCCCCCTTCTCCTTTTTCCCCCTCTCTCGGAGGCTCGCATTGAATCGGCCCTAACGATTCTCGGATCGTCATTATTTGTAACCATAGAGCATGAATTACCTCTTGAGGTCATCAGCGAGAATTTACGACTGGTCAACAAAAGCACGTGATTCCCCAACGCCCCCCCATCCCCCTTCAACCCCCCCCCCATATTTGGCCGCATACATAGCAAAACGAAGTACAGTGCATCGCTATAATTCATTAATACATCATAAATCGTGAAGCACAGGGTTATAACGACCACGATCCACAAATCAAGCCCTCCAAAATCACCCAAATGAGCTCGTACTTTGTAAACTCCTTCTCGGGGCGTTATCCAAATGGCCCGGACTATCAGTTGCTAAATTATGGCAGTGGCAGCTCTCTGAGCGGCTCTTACAGGGATCCCGCTGCCATGCACACCGGCTCTTACTACAATTACAATGGGATGGACCTCAGCGTCAACCGCTCCTCGGCCTCCTCCAGCCACTTTGGGGCGGTGGGCGAGAGCTCGCGCGCCTTCCCTGCGCCCGCCCAGGAGCCCCGCTTCAGGCAAGCGGCGTCGAGCTGCTCCCTGTCCTCGCCCGAGTCCTTGCCCTGCACCAACGGCGACAGCCACGGCGCCAAGCCCTCTGCTTCGTCCCCCTCCGACCAGGCGACCCCGGCCAGCTCCAGCGCCAATTTCACCGAAATAGACGAGGCCAGCGCGTCCTCGGAGCCTGAGGAAGCGGCGAGCCAGCTAAGCAGCCCAAGCCTAGCTCGGGCGCAGCCAGAGCCCATGGCCACCTCCACAGCCGCGCCCGAGGGGCAGACTCCGCAGATATTCCCCTGGATGAGGAAGCTTCACATCAGCCATGGTAATTCTCGCTCTCGCTCCCCTTTTTGTCTTCTCGGCTTTTCCTTCTCCGCGTTTGGGGGTGGGGGCAGTCGGCGAGGAGAGCTTGGCTTTTCCTCAAATATAGATTTCTTTCTTTTCGGAGGGGGAGAAGACTCTAAGAGGGTCCTCACAGCTCGGGGGGACAGAGCCGAAAGAGGGCTTAGCTGGGGGGTTGAAGAGGAGTATTTTTAATAATTTGTTCCCAGATTCGCCTTAGGTTTTATTTGCCCAGCTGTACTAGCTTTAGGATGAAGGATGGGGTTTATGTGACATGGGGAAGGGTCCTGCTTGCCCCCGAAATTTTGAGACTGCTTTTTGCAGAGGAGGGGCGAGCGGTAAAGCGAGCTTTCCAGGGCAAAAGTGCAACCCTTCTCCTCCCTCCCGGGGTGAGTGGCCGCCTGAGCCCAGCGAAGGGTGAGGCGCAGGGAGGGAGCAAGAGACAAAGCCGGGCGCATTCGCTGCGGGCAGAAGTGGGGGCTGTGGGAGAAGGGGGCATCAGAAAGCAAGCTCGGATGCGGGCATCTGGAGTGGGGAGGATCGGAGCTGCGGTGAGCTGGGTGCCGGGGACGCCTGGGTCCTGCTCCACGCCCCCCCTCCCACCCAGTGCCCCCTCCCTTAACCAGAATAACGCGGCCTCCCTTCTCTGCTCTGTCTGCTCCAGACATGACCGGGCCGGACGGGAAAAGGGCCCGAACCGCGTACACCCGCTACCAGACCCTGGAGCTGGAGAAGGAGTTCCACTTCAACCGCTACCTGACGCGGCGGCGGCGCATCGAGATCGCCCACGCGCTCTGCCTGTCCGAGCGCCAGATCAAGATCTGGTTCCAGAACCGGCGCATGAAGTGGAAGAAAGACAACAAACTGAAAAGTATGAGCCTGGCTACAGCCGGCAGCGCCTTCCAGCCCTGAGCCCGCCGGGAGGAGCCCGGGCGGCCTAAGAGTTCATGCCGCCCCCAGCCCTGGCCCCTCCAAGCCTCCTCGCGCTGCCGCCGCCCGCTGGGAACCGGTTCCCACGAGCCTGCCTCAGCCCGGGCCTTGTGTTACGATTTTTTCGTTTGGTCTTAGGTCTTCCTGTGGCTCCCTCTCTCCTGGACTGGTTAATCTTGTTATTATTGTAATAATAATGATAATTATTATTTTCCCTCCATGCTCCCCACTCCCCTGCGCTCACCCCCAATCCGCCAGTGTTTCTGAATGTTCGTGTCTGTGGTTGCACTCCTTCCCCCAGGAAAAAAAGAAACTCGCATGTTTAATGTGAACTTTCCCCTCCCCATCTGTGTTATAACTTATTTATAAAAGGATGATCGCTGTATTTTGAGTTTCAGCTGGAAACTTCTCTAAAAGGGGCAGCAGTTGAGGTGGGATAAGTGCCGCAGCGCCGGGCCCAGCTGAGCTGGCCTCGGAGACCGGGAGTCCATGACTGTGTCTCTTTCCTCCTTCCTCTTCCTCCTCTCTCACCACTCCCAGACCCAAGTCTCCTAAGGCTTGGTCCTGAGGTGGGAGGGGGCTAAAGGGGACTAAAGGGGTGATGTTGAAAAGAGGGAAGGTACATAGTGAGATTTAAGTTCCTGCTGCCTGGTAGGCCCCACAAGGCCTGGTCTGGGAGCCTTGGAAAACAAAAATAATCCTCAGTGTAAGACGTCTTGTGTATTTCTCTGTGAATCCATGGGTCTGGCATAGAGGGCCCAAAGCTTGTAAATACGGGGATAGTCTGGATCAGACCTATCCCCTCTTCCTTACCCATTTCGATTCCAAGACCATTTGTAGTGAGCGAGTGGATGCTGTGCTACGTGTGAAATCTGTCTCTGCCGGGCCTGTCTCAGTGATTCGCTTTTGGTATTTGTTTGTAGCTTTCCTTGAAGTCAAATAAATGTCTCCCCTCCTCCACTGCCCTTCCACTTGTCTTTTCTCTGGGGGCCTGCCTCTCCCATCACCAGGCACACCCTAGACCATTCTTGATAGATCTGGGGTGTGGGGAAGGGAGAGTAGGATGCTCCCCAGCAGCCCCTCTCAGCCTCTTAAGTCTCTGCTTAGTCAGCGGTATTTGGGCCAGGGGACAGGCTTTCATGCCTGAGGAACTGAGAGGCCCAGAAATCCCACCTGAAGCTGGAGCAAGGGACGAGGGAAAGGCTGAGCTGGACTCCGCCCTGGCCTTCCACCAGCTGGCCAGAAGAGTCTCTGGAAACCTCTTCAGGAAAAGTAATTTGGGCCTAAGCCCTGAGCAGGAGGCTCCTGGTCTTTTGGAAGAGATACAGGCCTGCCCAGCCCCCTTGTCCCCTAGTCTAAATCCCAATTCAACCCTGTCACCCAGTAGGCAACCCCCCCTCCAAAAAAAATCAGCTCAATTTCAAAGGTTTCCCTCACCCTCAGTCTTTTCTACATTTATCAAGGGCTTCTTCTCTCCAGGGGCCCAACTGACCTGCCCTCTTGATTAGGAGCTGGGGTCCCTCCTAGAAGACCCTTGGTTTCCCCTTCAGCAGAACTGGCACAGGGCCCGGGCCCAATCCTCTTCCATCCAAGTCAGCCTCCACCCTGAGTACAAGAGTCAAGTCTGGACACTTACCCGGTCCGTCCCTTCCAGCTTGGCCCAACTTCTTACAGGGCTGGGGGGGAGGGGGAGCTGGTGAGGAGGCAGCCGAGGGTCTTGGAGGCTCTATTGGGCCCTCTTTCCCCCTTCCCCCTTGACTTTGTCCCCCTTTGTCCATAGCAAACTATCCCAAAAGTCGCTATGACATTTAGATGTCAAATGGATAGGGGTTTTATCTTGAAGTTAGATCGTAAAAATCGCGGAGAAGTCAGACAGATACCCCTCACTGGCTCGAGAAAGTCACGTGAGGTCCATAAAGTTAGTTTTATGGTTTTGGGGAGTTGACACCGCGCGGTATATTTCACATTCTCCAGAATGTTAAGTGACACTTTAACTGCTCGCTGTGGTGGGGAAGGGGGCAGAGGTAGGTGAGCGCTCTCCGGGCCCAGAAGGCGGTGGTGTGGCGGCAGCCCAGGCCCAGCTCTCCCGCAGTAAGTTGCTTCCAGCTTTCGCTTTTCCCCTTGAAATTGTGGGGCTTGAAACTAGGGGAAGGAAACTGTGCCTCCAGCAAGGCTATAGGGTAATAAGTGGGGGAAATTTAGCCTGGTTTTGCACCAAGTTCTGACCAGCTGGGTGTCTGAAGTGGGGCAGCACCTGGTTCAGTGTGATTAAGGCCTCTGCAGTCGGGGGGTGCTTGGTTTTATTTGCAGGAGTGCCTGACTCTTTGTGGGCAAAAGGCTTGTGTGGGTCCCTTCAGTCCTCTTGGAAATTTAGGGGGCAAAAAGGAGGGGTGTGTACTGCTGATAGGAGGGCCCCATGTTGGGGGGGGCACTCCACTACTGGGCATCTTCAGATAGACGCCTCCCCACCCGCAGGAAAGAACCTTTATGACATTCATTTGTCAGGGGTGTGTGGGGGCGCGCCGCTAGGCACTTTTATCTGGATACATCTGAGCTGAGAAAAAGCCTGGGGAAGGCTAAGCAGCTGCTGTGGGCTGCCTTGCACTGGCGCACTCTCTGGCTTTTAGATCTTTGAACCCATGAAAGGGGGTACCTGGGTTCTCCATGCCTTCATCTGGGCTATCTGGGATGGGGAGCGCCGCGCCTGCCTTTGTACCCAACTTCAGACTTTTGGTCCCAAGCCAACCTGCTGACTTGACTCTATGTAGGATCCTGATGTCCAAGTGGGGAGCAGACAGAGGGGGGCATTTCCCTCAAATCCAAAACCTAATTCCTGGCCAGGAGCAGGGAGGAGAGAGCTTCTTTTTTTGTCTAGAGGATCTATGTGTTTAAGCAGATCCCTAGCGATCCCTCCAAAAATAAAAGTTGCTGAAGAACACAGATTCCCAACTGTCGGGAGAGTAAAAGGGTCTCCGGAGCTGAGAGAGAAAACTGGAAAGGTGCTCTCTTTCCTCTCCTTTCTTCTTCTCTCCCTACCAGAGCCTAGAGGCCCTTTGTTTTGTGGCACCACAAACCAGAAGGATTGCATTATTTGACCCCCAGGGGGCCGTTATTTTCTAAGGATAAGTCACCCTCTTTCTGAAAGCTAGAGGCCTCTTCCTCACCAAATTGACCTTTCCATTTTTAAGATACATGGGGATCAACCATCCCCTCATGCCTGCTTTTGCCATCTCTAGATTTAGCTCACCAACTCATGTTGTCCCTGGAATTGGACCTGTGACAACTTAAGGGGATTCTGATCTTTGGGACCAGGAGAGGGTCACAAGATCCTTCCCTTTTCACATTAAAGAACATCTGCACTCTCTCCCCATCTCTGCTTTCTCCTGCAGCTGCTCTCTATTCCCTGAGCTCTCAGATCCCTGTCTAGCCCTAATTTACCAGATACCCTTCATGGGCTTTGAGTGCAAAGAGGACAGAGGACAGAGGCTTTGAGTGCAAAGTTGTCCTCCCCTTGGTGTGAAGACACATCCCTCCCAGAATGTTGGGGCATCTGTGCCCCATGGAAAAGAGATTCTGCTCAACTCCCAAAGGACATCAAGCACAATTTAAAATTCTAGTAAAATTTGGAGGCATGACTTCCACAGGTTTCCACCCTGGACAAGGCAAATGAGTTAAATAAGATGCAAAAGGAAGAGTTTAGTGGGCACAGAATCTGATGAGGGGCCTCCTGGGCAACCTCATTCCTATGGTGCCCCTGGTCTCACTCTGATGCCACCAGCCACCCTCTCTCAGAAACCCCAGACCACCAGGCCTGCCGCTAGAGATTTTTTGGCCCCCTTCCACATCAGTTCTGCAAATCCTGATAAAGAATGTGTGGGGCCATCAGCCCAAGGACATCTGCTGGGCACATCTAGAGAAATTTTCCGGAATGGCAAAGGGCAGCTCTGGTGGGGGTGCCACTTCTGCCACAATAGCCAAAACTCTTGGAGGATCTCCTCTTACTCTGAGCAGATCCTATCTGGGGAAGATCCCAGCCTAGCTGGGCTTTCCTCTTCCCCACTTCAGGTTCTCTGGGTAACTGTCTTCCCTGAACCCCAGCAAGGATCTCTTGGGGAAGAGGATGAGAGCTTCCAAGGGATTTCTCTTGCAAAGGAGCTCTCTCTGCCCCAGGCCTGTGTCCTGCTCTCCAGCCTTCCCCAAGACATTCTCCAAGAAAGCTGTTCCTTTCTCTCCTCTCCCTGGCTGGATTCGGGCCCCAACATTTTGAGCTGCAGGCTGGAACTTACTAGCCAAATCCTCATGCCCATCTGTGGGCACCTTCCACCTGGGGCAGGGTAGAGGAGACTGGCAGTCAGAGGGTAAGGTCATAGTTTCCTTCTGAGGCCAGCTTGACCACCACTCAATAGACAATTTAATTTTTTGTCTTGCTTATTTTTTATTATTATTTTTGTTTTGTTTCTCTGAGGCTGTGGTGTGGGAGGAAGTATAAAGAAGTGTAAACAGGAAAGCCAGCCGGGCCTGGAGTTCCAGCGCCCATATTTCATTGGCGGCTTCCTCTCTGTAACTGCTGCAGGGACACTTAACTCTTCCCTGGCTGTGACAAGTATTCACTGGGGTGGGGTGGGGGGGGGAGCAGGGTGTAGGGGCAGGATCCAAGTGTAAGCTCCTCTCAGGCTGGCTCCTTTATCCTTGGGTTTGAATGCTGAGGTGGACGCCAAGGATTCCAAATGAGGGAGAAGCGGACCACTCAGCACAGTCCCCCAAACTCAGTCCCTTTTGGGACAGAGCAGAGAAGGCAATTGTCTGTATGGGTTTCACAGCTTGGGATCAGCCCAGCCAAGCAAGGAGAACAGAGCTAGCAAGAACATTTCCCCTCTTTTAGGGCAGAGCTCACTGGTCACTGTCCATTTTTTGGAATTTCTCGGAGTAATCAGATTTTGAGGCTGGGATCTGCCCACAGCGGGATTTATCGATTGCTGCAG